AAGAACATTAGTGCGATAGACATGCATGATCTCGTACACGAATTAAGTCAGGTTGACACTTTTCAAGAAAATACTTTAAATACACACAGAAACAGGGTCATACTGATACCTGGATTATGCATATTGATGGGACTTTAAACTTTTCTTTATTTGCGACGGAAAGGCATTAAATGTACAAAAGTAACTAATCATTTAATAAAAGAAAAAACACAGATCACTAATAAGACAGAAGAAGAAATAGAACTAGAACAGTTAGCATCCACTACAGTTAGTAGGCCAGAATCATCAGGGGGTAGACTGAATTTATACCCTGAGTAAACCATACATTAATTACAGCTTCCCCCCCCCCCCTCCCTCTCTTCCCCCATGACTGACTGAAATGGGATCGCTCGTAAAATGGTTCAATAAATGTGGGATTGTAGGGTGTATAACAAGTAATTAGTTTCATTAATTACAATTAACGTACGTTATATTGCTGTGTACAGAGGTACCGCGCTCGCTACACATATTCCGTTGTTGTGTCTACATGTCATTTGTCCGACAATATTAAATATATACCTGTTGTTTTGTCCCTACCATTTAATATTTACATGCGGTTTTGCACTATGAACGTTTTTTTATCGTGTTGTACTCTCTCGGAAAAGTGAAAATCCACACGTTCGGTTGTGGGTGAAGATTACAATACCTACATGTTTTATGTTCGCTAAGAGAGTTACTGGCCACAAAACCTCTCTTATACATTCTGTCAGAATGATGACTGATTTGAGTTTAACCAGACTTTACTGAGGTACACAGTTAGAAAGTACTTGGCGACAAGCCAGTCCAAAGCAGGACATGATTGGTAACTGAATATAGGCCGGCTATTTCTTTACAGAAGATGCGATATGCATTAAACAGAGGAAGCAACCTCTTAGGGAAGCAACAATAAACCCTGTGGATTATCACAGTAGATAAATGCCTGTAAATACAGGTGGTGGCATTGTACATTCGACTTGAGGAAATGCTACTATTGTTCCCGAGAAATTTCTCTCCAAATAATATACCTAACGTTATAAGAATTATTTATACTCTGTAAAGGTTATACCTTATTATTCAATCTATGTTGACTTTCTCAGAGATTCTGTTTTCATCCTTTCTTGGGGAGATGACATTTTCGAGTTTTATTTTATTGATAACTGGGGATACATGGCATGTCATTTCTTGTATACAATGTTTTCAGGTTTGAGTTTATAAAGGAGGAATACAGATACTATTCCTTTATACTTCAGACAACTCCGCACATTCATTAGGGATACCAGTGAATAAGAGGTCGTTATGCTAATACAACGAGGGAGTTGTATCGTTTTTTTTTTTATGTCTTTAGAATTATTGACTATTAGTTATTGTATGCATGTCACGTTTTCATTATACTGCATGAATTTTATGATGTTACATGTTATGTTGTATGCTTTCATTACGTGGCTAGATGTTCACATAAGGTTTAGTTAGGTAGCGGGTATAATTAGAGTAGTTTTTATAAAATTGAAGATAGGAAACAATTTTGTTAAAAAGTGTGAAGGGCGAATGTAACGAAATATAGGCAGAAAAGGGGTTAAATGAACAAGCATACATTTCAGACCACCACACAGCGTACTAATCCATCACTGTGTGAAATGACAGAAATAGCCAGCTATGCAGAACACACCGCCATGACATCTGACAGTGAGGGATGAAACATTCGACGAGTGCCCGTGAACTGTGACCAGCGGATGAGATACGTTCATCCAGACGTGACCACCAAAGACAGGTGACAGAGAAGTGATGGAGAAGGTACGCCAGGAGGAGCGGGAAAGCGGGAATAAAGTCAGAGCCAGGGGCTTGAGAGGTTAGTTAGCCCCGGGACCGCTTGAGAGGTTAGTTAGCCCCGGGACCGCTTGAGAGGTTAGTTAGTCCCGGAACCGCTGGAGAGGACAGTTAGCCACGGAACCGCTTGATAGGACAGGTTAGGAGAAAACTAGTGATTTACTTCGTTTAGAAGGTATATGTTAAACTTGGAGTTTAGCTAGAACAGTGGTTAAGGAACTCGTAGAGAGTCATACGAATAGCCTGTATCCAGATAATACAGTGTTCATATACTATTGAATTTATGAAGCCTCTATGACTGGAATATTGTAAATAAACAGCTCTTGTGTAATTGTTACATCACTGGCCTTGTTCTTGAGTACGATTGAAGAGAGATACGAACTATATTCATTCACTTGGCCGACTTAGGCACATCTATTTCTTGGGGGATGTTTAGGCACGACTGTGCCACAATCCTAATACTGTTAGCAATTTAACCAGTGGAATCGATTGTGAATAGAGCTGTCATGTCAACCCCAGTACTTAAAATAAGACACACTACAGCAGCATATGTTGCATTAACTCTACAGACAGTGGTTAGAAAAATATGAACGGCATTATCTTCAAAACAACACAGTCATTAAGAGTACACCTGTTATTAGTTTCATTGTATGGCTGTTCTACATTGGCCTGACAAGCTGTAATTGTTCCTTTAGTACTTTAGTTCCTGTAGTACTTTAGAGTGGCTGCTGCATCGGAGACTGAGCACGCATGGAAATGCCCAATGTGCAGTGACGTCGACTGTGATAACATAACATAACAGTTGTTAAATTCCATGGAAGATTTAAAAAACTCCTGTCTCCACAGATATGAGTTATCAATCTTCGCGGCACTCCGGATATGTCCATAAGTGCTCAAATTCCACTTCAAACACACACGCACACACACACACACACACACACACACACACACACATATATATATATATATATATATATATACAGGTTAGTTGCGTATCCTTTACAGGACGTTGCAGAACCAACCCCAACAGCCCCTGGCTGTTGTGTGGTTTTTCTATGCAAATTTACGTCCAGTAGTTGCCGGGTTGCTGGGTTCGATCCCAACTGCCAGCCTTGCCCCATGCATTGGTTTAGACAGTGGTATCGAGAAACCGACCGCCCAGAAAGCATATGGCAAACTATTGGACGTAAATTTGCCTAGAAAAACTACACAACAGCCAGGAGCTGTTAGGGTTGGTTCCTCAACGTCCTGTAAAGGATACGTAACTAGCCTTGAGTGTTGTTATCACCTAACGGTTAGTATCGTCGTCTTCTTGTGTTCGCTTTCCGATTTACACTGACAGACACATTCTTGTGATAAACTTAACTGTTTTTAAGAGTTCCCCTTTAGTTCCATACAGCTTTGAGGGCAATGTTGACTCACTGGGCCAGTGTTTCGATTTAAATGGGCTCTACAAGTGACATTCTTGCAGGACATGTCGTGTAGTTTGTATACACAGACCATATGGACACGATGGTGAACTACTTAGACAAAGCCCTGGCATATGCCTGTTTGTTATGTCCTGCACATGCCGGCCAAGTAAGTGGTAGTCATCTTTGTCCAGACTTTGTCACTTCTGATAGACTGGATGACCCTTTTCTTCTCAAAGTATGTCACAGCATTATCTTCCTGTTCACATTTTACCCTTTCTTAGCAAGTTTATCTGCGGTTTCGTTTCCTGGTATACCACTGTAGGATGGCACGGACCAGAGTACAGCAAGCTTTTGTGCACCCGGCTAGCTAAACTCAGGTGAGGAAGTTTACTACTCTTGAGGGCTTGCAGCACCAAGAGGGCACCTGTGAAGGTTGCACTTGGTTGCAGTCAGAACTACCGTTATGTAACATTTCGGCATCTGGCACTAGTATAAGATCTCTGCTGTGTTGTGTAACATTTCGGCAGCCTGCTCTAGTGTTAGGATCTTTGCGGTGTTATGTAACATTTCGGCAGCCTTGCTCTAGTGCTAAGATCTCTGCTGTGTAGTTGGAACAGAATTTAAAAGTGGGTATAACTTTGAGTGGCGTTGGTTGTCTGAGTACCTGATAGAGGTTTGTATATAATGCTCATTGCCTTGGAATTTGGCAGATATTTATCTCTAACATGTACCGTTGATTCTGCATTACGTCATAAAATTAATACGCATGTGTAATGTCTCCTTACAGTCGCAGACAGAATCTCTACATTCGTATACTGTTCGAACTGCTTCTGTATGGTAGACATGTTGTCAGAACTGGTATGTATAATTGTATCTTCACTTCACAACATGCCTGGAAGCTTGGACATGCAATCTTTTTATTCCCACAAGATGGAAGAAAGTGTACGAACCACTCTCGTTATTGAAGATATCAAATAAGCATGTAACATTGCCTCTTAATTTCCCAAACACACTTAACAGTTTTTGAGACTCCGTTTTGGATTCAGTAATAAACCGTATCTCACCAATACTACGTTCTCTTTATTCCATCATTATTTCATGTCATCTCTTTATTCTTAGAATAAGATTCTCACAGGATGCAAGAAAGTGCATAAATGTAGTTCTTGCAACACGCCAGAACTTGGATACACTACTGTCTCTATATCTCCGTGTTATGCTGTAACATGAATATACCAATATGTGCTTTCTCCCTTTATTATGATAATAATTGTTCATACACTCTCTTTATACCAATAACATTATAGATAGTGTATACACAAAAAACACTATTAATTACCACACAATACGAGAATATGTATGTACCGCTGTCTCTTTATTCTAATATATTAACACCATTTCTCTTGATCCCCAAAGCTTACCCAAAAATACGTCTTTATTCTACCAGCGTGCCATAGCAGCATTAGACCATTGTCTCTTTATCGGAGCAACATATCATAATACCCGTAGACCACTGTCTCTTTATTTCAGCAACATATCATAATACCCGTAGACCACTGTCTCTTTATTTCAGCAACATATCCTAACACCCTTACACCGCTGTCTCTTTATTTCAGCAGTATATCCTAACACCCTAACACCACTGTCTCTTTATTTCAGCAACATATCATAATACCCGTAGACCACTGTCTCTTTATTTCAGCAACATATTCTAACACCCTTACACCATTGTCTCTTTTTTTGAGCAACATGTCATAACACTACTAAACAACTCTCTCTTTATCTGAGCAACTTGTCATAACACCCGTTGACTGCTGTCTATTCGAGCAAATATCATAACACCCTTAGACCACTGTCTCTTTATATCAGCAACATATCCTAACACCCTTAGACCACTGTCTCTTTATTAGAGCAACATATCCTAACACCCTTACACCACTGTCTCTTTATATCAGCAACATATCCTAACACCCTTAGACCACTGTCTCTTTATATCAGCAACATATCCTAACACCCTTACACCACTGTCTCTTTATTAGAGCAACATGTCATAACACTACTAAACAACTCTCTCTTTATCTGAGCAACTTGTCATAACACCCGTTGACTGCTGTCTATTCGAGCAAATATCCTAACACCCTTACACCACTGTCTCTTTATTAGAGCAAAATGTCATAACACCCTTACACCACTGTCTCTTTATTAGAGCAAAATGTCATAACACCCTTAGACCACTGTCTTTTTTGGAGCAACAGCCACGAACTGTTTCTTTATTCCCCAACACTCCTAAACGTGAAAGCAAAGTTCACTGCGATATTTTATATGCACCATAGCTATCTTTTTACTCCAAGCATGTTTCAGCGCATTTGTTTTAACTATACACGGTCTTCCATCCAACAGAACGATCTTGGTTTGATGGTTATTACACGAACTGAACCTTCAGCAGCACAAGTGACCAACCCTGACACATCAAGGGATCCTCTGTCGCTTCCCCTATAAAACACTCAGACCAGGTGTCCCTTTGAGCTGTCTGACAAATGCCATTTTGTTGTTCGAAGTAGCTGCAGGCCAATGGACGCCGGAACTTCTGTACATTACCAAGTGACGACTGGCTGATCGCAGTTTTATTCGATGTGATAGTCAGGCATATTCGCTGGTGAAAGTTCTATTGTCAGCAGTGCAGCTGTTGAAGGAGACGTTGTAGCGGTTGCCTCGTGCGAACCTGCGGACAGATACAGATGTGTTTGCAATTAAAGTTTCAACACAAGCGGTTTGCAAAGGAAGGGTTCAAGAACAGATATAAAACAGAACGAAAAGTATATTAGCAAGCTTCACAATATAACGAACACAAACGTGAAAGTTGCAGCTATGGAGCCTTCATCAGCATATGCATTAAAAATCCATACCACACAAACAGACATAATCACCTAGCTTAGTATCTTGACGCCTCATATGAAAAGGGAGGGTTGGGGGGAGGGCATGGAAACCTATCTTGGTTCTTTATTTTTTTTCCACCCCAAGCACGTGAGAATCCCAGTGTTCAATGGAAAGTCAAATATTATAGGGCTATATGGGTTAGTCAGAGTTTATTTCAAACGGCAACACCCCTATAATTTTGGACTATCGGGAGAACTCCCCATATTTAGGGTGAATACCCCTTGTGTTAACACTCTCTGCATTTTTTAAACCAAACTAATGCTAATGAATTCTAGCAAAATTGTAACATTCAGTCAGTGTGAAAGTCCTAAACTCAGATTTTATAAAATATTATTGAATTTGATAAAGGTTACTTAAGATACTTTCCGCCATAGTCACTAGCTTTTGCAAAAGCTTAAGTTAGTGTGGAAAAGTGGAAAAACGGCCACACATTATGGCGGCCCAAAACACCCTGACAGGGCCTCAATCACATCGCGGCAAAACTAGGATTATTGCGCGTTAACACTTTCGAGAAAAGCAACAATGCATACGATAATAGCGACATGGTGGGGAGACCAAGTATCCACTGCGCCGCTACGTGCGGCGCGGATCGGGGGCTACACTACCGCATCTTCTCTAACATCCTCCAATTTATATGCTCGTGATTCCCAGCCATCTAGTTTAAGCCACCTATCCACGCCGCGCGTAGCGGTGAAAATTGCATTACCAATGCGGCACCGATCACATTTAGCCGAGTTTCAATGGCGCCACAGCCACAAAGATATTCTGGCTCTATTCGCAACTTCTTTGTCCCTATTTTCAGATATGAAGGCCTCAATTATGGCTCAGTAGTCGATTTCGTGATTCACCCTTGTTTTCTTTCCTCAATATTTTCGAGTTCAAGTTTTTGAATGTTTACAACACATGACCTAATTAGGCCCTGTCAGGGTGTGTTTTTGGCAGCCATAATATGTGGCCGTTATTCGTAGTATAGCCGCTTATTTTTAATGCAAGAGGAGTAGTGTATCATGTGGTCTATCCACCCCCTGAACCCCCTAGGGTCCAGCCTGAACCCCCTAGGGGTCCAGCCTGAACCCCCTAGCGGTCCAGCCTGAACCCCCGCCACTCCCGGTCGTCAGCCTAGCACAGGTGTTAATCCTGAAGTTCAAAGGGTCAATTATTTGGGTCATATATTTATTTTTCAAGTTGGTTGATTAATTTTTTTTTTGCATCTGATGCGGGCGTTTACCCCCAGAAATAAAATCTTGTTAATATATTTTTATCAAGTTGGTTAATGATTTTTCCCTAGCAGTCAGAGGCGTATCTTGTTGGCTTTGTTGAAAAGTAGTTTATACATTGCTCTCTGTATTCCTGCTATAAGGTTAGACATCACTTCTTTTTCTTCTTCTTCTTCTTCTTTTTCTTCTTTTTCTTCTTTTTTTTCTTCTTCTTCTTCTTCTTCTTCTTCTTCTTCTTCTTCTTCTTCTTCTTCTTCTTCTTCTTCTTCTTCTTCTTCTTCTTCTTCTTCTTCTTCTTCTTCTTCTTCTTCTTCTTCTTCTTCTTCTTCTGGTGGTGCTGTTGTCACGTATAAGTTGTCTTCGGATTCCTGTTTCTTTGCGATATGTTGAATTAGGAATCGACATCACAGCTCTCAGGACACCTCCATAAGCGCTCGGTCCCCATCTTCAGCAGCAGGTGAATAGTAAAAAATTCCGATGGTACCAGTAGGTCTCTTGTAGTTCTTTCTGTCTACCCCTGTATGTCACCTGTAGTAATTACCCGCCCACAGTTAACAAACAACATTGATTTAAAAAACGAAAAGCAGAAGACGTATAACAGTTTATATAATTGTTTATTGTTTTAGTCTTTTCAAATCTTTTGTTTTCTCAAGTTAGGACAGACAAACATTCGAACATTTGCAACAGT